AGTCCCTTGCTTTTCTTGACATACATGTGTACACATCAATGACTGATAACCTGACTTCATGTGCAGGGCTTTTTGCTGATGATTGTTCATGTATATTGTACACACCTATTAAATCAGTTCAGGATACAGTTACCCTTCAAAATTATCTCAAACAATTCAAAAATTGGTAGGATACTTGGCTCATGCACTTCAATCCCAGTAAGTGCCCTACTATGACCATTTCCACTGGATACCCCAGACCATACCGTTATACCTTTTGTGGTCAAGAATTAGCATCTGTAGAAACACACCCTTATTGGGTGTTCAGTTATCCAACACTCATACATGTAGTTGGGATGCACAAATTGTGGCAGTTGTCTAGAACCTCAATGGATTAATAAAACCGGACTTGAGCAGTTGCCCAACTCGGGTGAAGGCAACAGCATACAAGCTTGGTTTGTCCAATCTTTGAGTATGCTACAGCAGCATGAGACCCGCATTCCAAAAGAAACATCAAGGCACTGGAAAGAATACAGAAACAAGCAGCTCCATTTTGTAAAAATAACTACAGTAGATCACCAGGGACAGTCACTAAAATACTTCAAGACCTCAGTTGGGAACCTCTAGAAATCAGACAAAAAGCCGGAAGACTCATACATGTATGTAGTATCCACTACAAAATAGTCAACAACCTAGTTAATCTTCCAGTTACAACCATCATTCAGCAAACCAGTAGACCCTCTAGAACACAACAAGCAATACCATCAATACGGCGTGCGACTTTGGTGTTCAGAAACAATTTCCTTTCGTTAACTATCAAGGCCTGGAATGCATTGTCCTCGAACGTGGTCAACTACAAATCCCTTGAAACATTCAAGGCCAGCATTATTGACTACTTGACACGTAGATATTCCCATCCACACGCTGCACAAGTGAAAGCTGGTGTGATGTGTCCAGGAGGACATTAGTTGCCGGCTGGTGATTACAGATACACACAAACCTGTGAATCATTTTACCTACCGGGTATCATTACCAAAACCCACTGCATTACAACACCATGTATACTGTACCGGCAGGAAGTCACACCGTGTATGACAGAGTAGTGATTTTGACTTCTCAAAGTACATGTACATGTAGGCCTATGTACATGTAGGTTTGTCACATTTGTGTACATGGTACAGAGCTAGAAAGGCATCAAGTGTTGTCTGTATATGGTGTGGTATTCTAAAGCAGACAAGCAAACGTTGAGTGTGTGAGTTTGAACGTCATCATGTGTGTGAGTTCAAACGACATGCTTGTGAGGTTGAGTGTCGCGTTTGTGAGTTAAGCGCCAATTTCATGAAGCTGCTAAGCACAAAAATTTGCTTTGCTCAGAAAAAAAATAGGTTACCAGTCAAAAATCTATGTCAATTTATGATAAGCCAAAATCAGCTGAACACCAGTCACAAGCAATATATACAACACATGAACATTTTGGTAGGTAATTCTGTTTTTATCAAGGGAAAAATCATGCTAATGATCCATGAAATCGGCCCTGACCACTCACAAACTCGACGTTTACAATTCACAAACACGACGTTTGAACTCACAAATACGACGTTCGAACTCACACACCACGTTCAAACACACACACTGCAGTGTCTGCTTTAGAACACCATATAGAACTCTTTCCGTTGATTGTATCATACAACAAACTTACCAGTTGGTTGAAAACAGATCATTTAAATCTGCTAGATTTATAGCGCAACTTGAGAGGTGGACAAGACAATAACTTTCTGCCAAATTCTGGTAATATATCATGTACATACATGTACATGTACGGTACGTACTACTACTGCGTTGTGTTCCCACGCTTTTGTTGGTGTTTTTTCCCAACAGCGCCACCACGAGGCACCTCGGACCAAAGATTGTAAAAAAGGCAAGGTGCTAAGGGTGTAGACCACAAATTCAAGTGAGAATTTTTGACCAGCTCATTAGCATTAAAAGTGCCCCCAACAGTATCTTTTGAAAAAGGAGATTGTTTGGCCCCCAAAATGGTGAGATTGTGCCAGGATCAACCCCCTGGGTCTTTGAGCTTTCATATGAGGGCAGAAGGG